ATCTAATATAAAAGAACTATTATAAATATATATATATATATATATATATATATATTATAAAGTATCCATTAATTATTTTTTAACCAAAAATATCAATTTTATTATTACTTACTGTTTATGGAGGATTTCGTTCGTAGGTTCTTTTTGTTCGAACTAGCACGAGTTCACGTTTCAATTTATGCGTGTTCGTGACATGACATAATTGAAGACTTTTCGTGAAAGAATAAATTCGTACAAGCAAAAAATAGAGTTAAATTAGGGTGTTGTTACAGCACATCAGAAGATCTATGCTCATTGTTTCGAGCACTTCAGAAGATCTATGCTGGTTTGGCACATCAGAAGATCTATGCTCACTATTTCGAGCACGTCAGAAGATCTATGCCAGTTTTAGCTCTTCAGAATATCTATGCTTGTTTCAGCACATCAGAAGATCTATGCTAATTGTACAATCAATTTCATGCATATAATAATTAACGTGAATCGAACAGATGACATGTATATTGACTGCAGAAATCATATCCTTCATTAAATGGTAACAGAATTACAATTCGTAAGGATAACGAAACATGTTCAGAGTGACTACACTACACTAGACTAGATTATGCTATGCTACGCTACTCCTAAAAAAGGAAAAGAAAAGTGGTCGAGAAATCGTACCCAAAGCTGTCTCGTATGCACAGTATGCCTTATGCGCGGGCTGGGCTGTGGAGTGCGTGTGAGAATTGTGGGAATTAGATTTCTGACCTTTTGCTACGAGCATGACTCGTTTAATTTATAGACAAAGATCTGGGAAAGATAACTGTTTCTGACGTGTCCCAGAAATGCATAATTGTCCTACACTTCCACATAGTGGCTTATTCCTGGGCACGTCTTTGGATAACCTAACTTCCCCAAACCGTTCTGTAGCCTTTGACACTTATCCCATGTTACTTCAACCGCTCCTAATTCGTGTCTCCTTTAAGTTCTCCATTCTGAGAGGTTATGAAGTGTATTCGTATATGTCCGGATTCTTGGGATTTCGAGTAACCAACGAAAACTATACTTGAATGTTTCCTGATTCTGCTTGTACTTTGAGAGGTTGCTAGGCTGTGAGCCCTTTTCCTGAGCAGCACCCTTCCTGGTTCGAGGATTTTGAGAGTTTCATGAAAACTGTCTTCGCGTATCTCCTGACTCTCTTCAAGCTTCGTATACCTTCTTTAGAAACTTCTCTCGATCATCTAGGATTTTCGAGCACCCTTGTGTTTCAAGTGTCTCCGAATTCATTTTCTGGTACTAACACTTACTAGTCACACGAAATTCTTATGTTGTCGAAAGACTTTCTATTGCGTATTTACGTTGCCTCTCTACATTAGTTGTTTGTTACACTATTCGGTGGGTGTGGGGGATTAACTTGTTACGCTGTTATTGGGGCTTCGTTTTGGTGGATGTGGGGAAGCAAATTGGTTACTTTGTTCGACGTTTACTGATTGCAGGGTTAAAGTAAAACTTTTTTAAAATTAATAATATTATCTTTTATAAATTTTTTTTGATAAAAATAAGGCTTAAATATGATTTTAGTCTCTCAAATTTAAAATAAATTTATTTTTGGTCCTTCAAATTTAAACTCGTTATTTTTAGTCCTGTAATTTTCAAAAAAATTGTTTTAGTCCTTATATTCAAATTTTGTTAAGAAATTAATCAAATATTATTACATAAAATTCATCTATTGGTGTCCTTGTTAGTAAAAATATCACATTAAATTCAATAGATATTGCATAACTATCTTAATTTGTTACTTTCAGATATTGTTGGGGCTACTCGAAGAGATTCTCTCGAGATCTACTCGGAACGGAAAAGTCAATTGAAAGTACGCAAGTCATATAAAAAAATAAAGGATAAGTATGACCAAATGCATGTAGGTATTCGAGGGTAAGTCGAGAAGCTAACAGAGGTTACCTGAGTAATGTGGGAACAATTATACCTGGGTGGCTACTAAACGAGTAAATCGAAGAAACAAAAAATCACGTGGGATAAAACAGTTATAAAAAGTTACATTTAAGCCACGTAATGGGAATAGTGGATAACGGTTACGAGCCCACAACGTACGCATACAAAATTAACCGTTCTCGGCTTAAGCCACGAAATGGTGGTAGTGGATAGCAGTTACGAGCCCACAACATGCTAACCGCTCTCAGCTAACTCTATAAATATGAGAAACATATCCCTTCACAGCGGGTCGGAAAAACTCATACTTGCATTCACGAGCACTCCACCGCCTGCGCATATGGCTTTCGTGCATGGAATTGCTGGGTATGGCAAATTGTTGACCACATTTCTTTTCTTTTTCTAGGATTAGTGTAGTTAGTTTCAATTCGTAGTTAGTTTCATTATGATATTGTAAGTTGATCAGTATGCGAAGTGGACTATGATTTGTATTGCTAATATACTTATTGTTCATTCCGTTCATTTGAGTATCTATATGCATGAACATTATTGCTTGATAATCATTAATGAAAATCTAGAAACAAGTAATTATTAGTCTTTCTACTCCATTTTTTCTTATTCTTCATAAAGTTCAAAACATAAAATACCTAAATTGAAACAAACTAGTGCTAGTTCAAGTAAAAAGAACTCGTAAACGAATTCCACCATAAACAAATTGGCACGCCCAATGGGACCACGTTTTATACATAAGTGAACTAGTTTTAGGTATGTATATTTTATGAGACTTAGGAGTGAAAAAACCATGTCTACGTCTAATAATAGGAGAGAAGTGAATAATGATAATCAAGTAGATGTAGAGAACGAAAATCCAAACCCAGATAATGTGACTACTATGACAAGGGGGCAACCTCACCTCCTGTATTGCTCGAAAATGTGGCTAGGCAAACGAATGTATCCCAAGAATTCGCAAGTGCCACTAGAGACTACCCATGGGGTATGCCACAAAATTGGCAAACTACTCAACCTGTACACGTAGAGATGCCAATACCCTATTTAGCACCAAACTCGCAGATGCATGTATCCCCACAGGGATATAATCCCAGACCAAATGGATTGGGATTTATCATGCAAGATCCGTATCAACATATAGGGACAAGTCATGAGGGATCTCTGGTTCGATAGAGTAGTTATGTCCCCACAGGTATTAGTAATCAAGCTATGATAGCCCTTCGACAACAGATGGGCCATAGTAATCATGATATAGTTAACTTATTGTCGACTCAGATGCATAATATACTAACCCCTCTATATGAGTTAATAAATAAAATAGGAGATAAAATGGGAGACAATCCACCCTCGAGAGCCATGAGTGTGAACTTGAACGATATGGAAAATCAAGGTGGGAATGTAGGTTTTCCTCAAAATTTAGGTAGACCTCATAGGAATCTTGATGAAAATTTAGATCAAATTGTAGAAAGGGTACTAAATAGACATGGTTTCGAGGTAGGTCGAAATGAACGTCCCTATTTTGTGTCTGCTTTTCTAGAATATGTAACTCAGGTAGAATTACCTAGGGGGGCAAAAGTCCCGAAATTTTCAAAATTTGCAGGAGAATTAAATGAGTCTACTGTCGAACATATAGCAAGGTATTTGGTCAAATGTGGAGATTTAGGGAATAATGAATATTTAAAAATGAAGTATTTTCCCAGTTCGCTAACTAAGCATGCTTTTACCTGGTTTACAACTTTAGCCCCTAATTCAATTAATACTTGGGCTCAGTTAGACGGTAATTTTCATGAACATTTTTTTCGAGGAGAAACCAAAGTGAGTATAGTCGATTTAATGAACATAAAAAGACAAAATCATGAAACATTAGATGACTATTTGAATAGGTTCAGGCAGTTGAAGTCTCGATGTTATACAAATATTCCTGAACATGAGTTGGTGAAAATTGCCGCTATGGGGTTAGACTTTTCGATTCGTAAAAAATTGGTAAACGAACAGTTAAGGGATATGGCCCAGTTAGCAGAAAAAGTAAGATGGATCGAGCAAATTAAGTTAGAAAAGGAAAGATTAAGGAAGTTGGATAGATTTGTTCGAAAAGAAAAGGTGGCTTATGTAGAAAACACAGAGCTCAGTGAGGATGCTAATTGTGAGGGTTCGAGTGAGGATTTTGAAGTTAACATAGCCGAATTACGTCCTGGCCCTACCTATCAATGCCAAATTTTAAAACTAGGAGATAATGTGGAAGGGAGTACAACTAGACGATATAGTTTCGATGTGACTAAGGCTGATAAAATATTTGATATTTTGTTAAAAGATAAACAGATTGCACTCCCGGAAAACCATAAAATTCCTCCATTCAAACAAAGAAAAGGGAAGAAATTTTGTAAGTATCATAATATGTATGGTCATTGGACTAATAATTGTGTGCGTTTTAGGGACATGATCGAGAAGGCGATCACTGAGGGTTGTCTGGCTTTCGAGGAAAAAGATATGAAAGTGGATACTGATCCATTTGTAGCTCATACTGGGTATGTAGAGCCAGTCTCGATGGGGATTAACATGGTCGAAGTAAGTATCGAGGAGGATGAGAATGTCGAACCTATCTCTAACTAAAAACTCGAGGAACTTTTGGATGACTTTGCCAAAGAGGAGGAACCTATTTATCCAAAGGAGGGAGATAGTTTGGTCGAATTCCTGTCTAAGAAAAAGGATGCTGATAGGGAAGTCATGCTTTGTCCTCGATGCAATGCAGTATTCGATAGAGCTGCTGCTAAAGCCTTCGAGGAATCGGAGGTAATGAAAAGCTACAAAGCTGAGAAGCTTCAAGAAAAGACAAAACCTAACACTAGGTTGAACACTGGGTTGACAATGAGGCAGATACATATGCCTCAGTATAATGCTCCAATGGGAAAAATAGAGATTCATAACTCATCGAAGTTTGGCAATACTTTTGTGCCAAATGCTAATGTCCCAGTAGGAAAATGAAATGTTCCACCACAGCAAATGGCTGGAATGGGTCAAGGGAAACAAATCATGAATTATGCTGGGCCCACATTCCAAGGAGTTCCTGGGAAATTCTCGAATTTGTCAGGAGTTCCTGGGAAATTCTCGAATTTGTCAAGAGTTCCTGGGAAGTTCTCGAATATGTCTAGAAGTTATGGGCCTGGTTTTAGACAACTTTTCAACAATTTGACTAAGACCGAGTGGAGGAGACAATAGAGAATGAGAAAAATGACTTTCGAAGGTTTTAGAGGGAATCGTTTCTCGATCCCAGTACCTCAGAAAGGTGAATCATCTCGAAATTTCATGGAGGATGATGAGGACATGATAAATGACTCTTTGGAAGATATTTGTGGGACAGTGTCAATTTTACCTTCTTAATATGCTGGGGCCATGGAATCCGTTAATGAGCAAGAAAATATCCATAGAGAAGATTTTTTCAATGATCCCAGCTATTAGTCGAAGATTGTGTGGGTTAACCAGATCGCTCGATTTATTCCTAAATTTAACTCAGTTGTGTTCGACTCTCCTACTGAGGATATGAAGACTCATCTTAAGCCTCTACTATTAACTTTGATGATTGAGGGACATGAAGTGAGAAAAGTGTTGGTTGATGGAGGAGCAGCCATAAATATACTTCCAATAACCATTCTGAAAAGGTTTGGAAAGACCATAGCTGATCTAAAGCCTCATAACATCCTCATATCAGATTATGCAGGAGAGTCATCACAACCTGAGGGCATGATTTTGCTAGATGTGCAAATAGGAAGTGTGAAACGAACAACCATGTTCATCGTGACTCCGTCGAAGGCAAATTTCAATGTTCTGTTGGGGCGAGAATGGATACATGGATTTGGAGCTGTTTCTTCGACTGTTCACCAGAAAATCTTTTTCTGGAATGATGATGAAGGTTTAGAGGTACTTGATGCTGACTAGAAGGAGTACGAGGTAGGCATGTACTTTGCAGATCAACAATTAACTGCTTTTGCTAAAACCAAACCTTTCGATGCCCATAATGCGAACATGCTGGAGGAAGAAGAAGGCATCAAGAAAATGTTTTGTTGGGATGTGAAAAGAGGATTTGTTATTCGAGCCGAAAAGGAATCGGCTCTGGAAGAAGAATGAAGTACCAAGATCCCTATTCGAGCTTTTTAGCTCGAATGTCGGCCTACATGGCCGATCGAACGATCGAAGTGGCCGAAGATTGTGAAGGCAATGAAGAAATGTCAGTAAAATCCAAAGAATGTGTGAGCAGTACGACCTCAATGGCCGAAATAAAAGAAAACGAAAAAAGAAATGGTTGAGTAGACCAAAATGTCGAAAATGAAGAAATTATTTCCAATCAGGAAGAGGCAAGGCTAGATTGTATTTTTGATGATTTGCCATTGGGATTTGAGAAGTCAAGTGGTGAGGATCATAAGTTAGAATCTCAAGACCCGCTGGAAGAAATTAATCTGGGTACTATCGAGAACAAGAAAATCACTTATGTTAGCAAGCTCTTGCAAGGGAAGCTCAGGGAAGAAGTTATTCGAGTATTACACAAGTTTAAAGATTGTTTTGCCTGGGATTATGAGGAGAAGCCTAGTTTGGATCGAAGTTTGGTAGAGCATAGACTACTAGCAATTTCTGGGAAGAAGCCAGTTAAGCAAAATCCTCGAAGATTTGCTCCAGAAGTGATTGACAAGATAAAAGAAGAAATCGAGAGGTTGTTGAAATCCAAGTTCATCAAGACCTCAAGGTATGTTTAATGGGTATCGAATATTGTGCCTGTTATCAAGAAAAATGGGAAACTCAGAGTATGTATTCACTTTCAAGACCTTAACATAGCTACCCCCAAGGATGAATATCCTATGCCTATTGCTGAGACAATGATAGATGCCACTGCAGGTAACGAAATCATGAGTTTACTAGATGGTTATTCTGGATATAATAAAATTTACATTGCAGCTAATGATGTATCGAAAACTGCTTTTCGATGTCCAGGAGCTTTAGGCGTGTACGAATGGGTGATGATACCATTTGGATTAAAAAATGCAGGTGCCACATATCAAAGGGCAATGAATTTAATATTCCATGATTTAATAGGTAAGTTTGTACAAGTATATATTGATGATATAATTGTTGGGTCCAAACGAAAGGAGGAACACTTATGCCATCTAAAATTATCTTTCGAGAAAATGAGGAAACATGGTCTAAAGATGAATCCACTAAAATATGCCTTTGGTGTTACAGCATGAGAGTTTTTGGGATTTATCGTGCATCAAAAAGGGATCGAAGTGGATAGGAACAAAACTAAGGCTATCATGGAAACTACCCCTCCATCGAACAAGAAAGAACTTCAATCTCTTCTAGGTAAAGTAAATTTTCTTAGAAGATTCATATCGAATTTATCTGGCAAAACTAAAGTGTTTTCTCCATTATTATGTTTGAAACAGGAGGAGGAATTTCAATGGGAAGAAGAGCACGAGAAAGCATTCGAGGAAATCAAAGCTTATTTGGCTCATCCTCTAGTAATAGCACCACCCTCTAAAGGAAGACAATTGAAGTTGTATGTTTCAGCCTACGATTCAACTATTGTGGGCATGTTGGTGCAAGACGATGATAATGGCATCGAGAGAGTCATTTATTATCTAAGTAGAATGTTGGTAGGAGCAGAGAATAGATATACTCCTTTAGAGAAATTATGTTTAAGTCTATATTTTGCTTGTACAAAGTGGAAGTACTATCTTAGGCCTTTTGATGTATTGGTATTTTGTCGAAGTAATATTATTAAGTATATGTTGGGTAAACCTGTGTTACATTCCCGAATTGGCAAATGGGCACTTGCATTAACTGAATATTCACTAATCTTTGTCCCCTGAAATCCACTAAGGGACAAATAATTGCAGATTTTCTTGTGGACCACTCGAAATTAACTGAACAAATCAATTACTTAACAATTAAGCCTTTGGAATTATTTTTCGATGGCTCGAAACATGAGGTAGGAACTGGGATAGGCTTGTTAATCATTTCTCCTGAAGGAATTCCGACAAAGGTATCACTAAAAACAAAGAGGGGTTACTCGAATAATGAAACTGAATATCAAGCGCTCATTACTGGACTCGAAATTCTTAAGGAATTAGGAGCTAAGAACATAGTAGCCCGAGGAGATTCTCAACTCGTCATTAAATAATTAACTCAGGAGTATAAATGTTCAAATGAAAAACTGGTCGAATGCAAAGCTCGAGCCACTGAGTTACTAAACACGTTCGATGAGGTTGATTTAGAACACATTTCTCGAAATGCAAACACAATCGCAAATGAACTGGCTCAAATCGCATCAGGGTATAAAATGAGTAAAGGATGTCTCGAATCCTTGATTCATACAGAGAATGAACCAATATGTAATTTGGAGAGCCTAACTATCAATACATCGAGCCATCAAGACTGGAGAAAAGAATTGATCGAGTACCTTCAAAATCCAAACTTGAAAGTCGAAAGAAAGATCAGATTCCAAGCTCTTAATTACGTCATGCTAAATAACGAATTATACAAGAGGGGTTTCGATGGAATTCTATTTAAATGCCTCGGGAATCATGAAAGTTATATAGCTATGACAGAAGTACATGAAGGTATTTGTGGGGCACATCAAGCAGGTGAGAAAATGAGGTGGACCTTATCGAGAAAAGGGTACTATTGGCCAACCATGATTAAGGATTGTATTGAATTCGCTAGAAGCTACGAAGAATGTCAGAAACATGGACCGATACAAAGGGTACCAGTGAGTGAGTTACATTCGATCATTAAACCTTGGCCATTTCGAAGTTGGGCTCTCGACATAATAGGACAGATTTATCCGCCTTCCTCGAAAAATCACAAATATATAATAGTTGCTATAGATTACTTTACAAAATGGGTAGAGGCAATTCCTTTGAAAGAAGTTGATCAAAAAGACATAATTGATTTTGTTGAAGATCATATCATAACAAGGTTTGGAATTCCCTAAACAATTACCACAGATCAAGGCACAATTTTTACAGGTCGAAAAGTTACTCAATATGCTCAATCGAGAGGAATTAAGTTAGTAACTTTGAAACCATATTATGCACAAGCAAATGGACAAGTCAAAGCCGCTAATAAATTAATTATCAGTTTAATCAAGAAACACATTTCGGGCAATCCTCGAAATTGGCATGAAACACACGTCCAGGTGTTGTGGGCTTATAAAAATTCGCCAAGAGATGCTAAAAGAACAACACCATACAAATTGGTATATGGACATGAAGCCATTCTTCCCATAGATATTAATTTACAATCAATTCACATACAAAAACAAAACGATTTGCCTATCAAAGATTATTGGAATCTAATGTATGATGAGTTGGTATCTTTAGAGAAGAGAGGTTGATGGCATTGCAAAATCTCGTCCAGCAAAAAGAAAGAGTCGAGAAAACATACAACAAGAGAATCAAAACGCGCAGTTTTCAAGTTGGAGACTTAGTGTTAAAAGCAATTCTTCCCATAGATCAAAAATCTCGACATTTAGGCAAATGGTCCTATAATTGGGAAGGCCCCTTCATGGTCAATCAAGTATACTCAAAAAATGCGTATGTAATTAAAGCAGTAAATTCAAACACAACAAGCAAGGTAATTAATGGTAAATACTTGAAATATTTCCATGAAAGGTCAGATTACTGAAACAAACATAAAAAATAACATAAAAGAAATCGAAATTGATGTTCTAAAATTTAATCAATATTACATAACTTGGACTTGAAATTCTTGAAGGCCTGATAAGCTTCATCTAAACTCTGCCTTAAAGAAGCGCATTGAGCTTCTAAATGTTTCTTCTGCTCCAGGGTCTTGGCGAGTCTCGAAGAGATCTCTTTGCCTTCATCTTTAAGACTTTTCTGGCGTTGAAAAACTTGTTGACTTTGAGCCTTCAAAGCAGCTTGTTTTGATCGAAGGTTATTAAGCTCTTGTTGTAAAGCCTCAATAGACCTCTCAGTATCAGCTTCCTCTTGTTGCAACTTCTTTAATGCAGGAATCATCTCTTCAGTAGATTTTCTAATCGAGAGTAATTCTTACCTAAGATGTTCAAGCTTGGCACGGTCACCTTCAATTCCTACTTCGATATGAATCACTTCTTGAAACGTGTTGACCCATTTGGCTCAAAGATCATAAGCAAGAGTGAAAGGTTTGATGAACTCTTGGAGTTCGAGATGAATTTCTGGAGGAAGATCTGGATACGCAAGTAGGTCATCCACCATTTGCTCGACCTCAGTCTTGAACTCAAAGACAAGAAACGTTTGGTCGAGGTCCTCGACATAAGCTTTGGATCGAAAAGATTCGAGCAAAGGTTGGAAATTGGCGACTGACTCAAGAGCTTTCTCTGAAACAGATGTGCCGCTCGTCCAGTTCTCCAAGACATCAAATATATTGTCGACTTCGATGTCATCATTAAAAAAGCTTATTAAGTCTAAATCAGTAGATTGAATCGAGGGAGTAGGAGGTTTCGAAGATTCAACGCCACCTTAATTGGATGGTGTAGGAGTAAAAGGTCTTGGAGAATCGGTCGAGTCTACACGTAAAAGGAGGTCATGTTTTCTTTACATCATCATCATAATTGAAAGTGATTGACAAATAAATTTACCATGACCAAGACTAATTGGAGGCCTGAGCTCGAATGATGGTTCTTCGTCTTGGGAGGATTAGTGAGGAGTTTCAACTTCTTCCTTTGTTTTTAATAAGAGTGCATCACCTTGATCACCTTGGGAAGTAGTTATTCCCATTGAGGGAATATTGGCAATACTCGACTGAGGAGTAATCAACTGTGGAAAGAAAGATAAGTTAAGAACAGAAGTAAAATACATAAGAAAAATCGATGAAAGGGTCAAACCTTTTGAGGGTCCTCAGTCGAAAGAAGAGCATCCTTTTGAAACGTCTCAGAAGAGGAG